ATGTCTTGTGACAGTAGCCGGTGCGTTTCCGGGGGTTAGGGTTTAGGGCATTTGCCCGAAGAACTTGAACCGTCTGCAAGGCAACGGAATCGATTGCATTAATAGCCGGTAAGCAATAAGCCGACGAATCTTTGAAGCCCCCCAAGCCCACTTCTCGCTCTCCTTGTGCTTCTTGTTCATCTTCTCTCATGTCTCATGGCTGTTCTTTGTGCTATGTCCACTCTTCTTTTAACTGCCACGAGGGGACCCAAAGGATGCTAAGCCTGGAGCTCTCACGGGGGGGGGGGGGGCTCAAAGGTGCTTAGACTTTTTGACTTCAGCTGTTCTCCTCGCCTTCTTTCGGCACAGAGAAGCTCCGAGTGTGCCGGAGTGTCCACAGAGAACCCTGCAGGGTATCTGTGGAGTCCCCACAGCAGAGAATCCTGATGAGTAGAACGTGCAGGGAATCCCGCAGAGAAGCCCACCGATCCCTGCGCCCAGAGCATCCCACAGAGAATCCGAGTGTACCTGGAGTGCCCACACCCAGAGAATCCCGCTGCGGAGAATCATACCGCACCATTTCGATCATATCCACCCTCAGAGGAATCCCAGCATGCCAGCAGTGTTCGCCCCGGAGAATCCCGCGAATCCCCGAAATGCCGTTTCCGGTTTTGGGGTCTCGGAACGAGATGCTAGTGCTTGATCTCCGGGCCCTGGAGAAACCCATTCGCCCTCCCATACACGACACCCTCGTAACCAAACCCTGAGATTTACGTAGACCTGTACTTCGACATGCATTCGCCCTCACATGCTCATGGCATCATGGCAGCTGGGCCCTGTTCGCACTAAACTCCCAGCCGCAAGCACTCAACCTACGTCCTAAGGCTTAGGTCTTTGGGTTTACAGGGGGCTTAAGGTCTCAACTTCACCCTAGGCTTCAGGCTTCAGATTTCGTGTTTAGAGGCTTAGGAAAGTTCAAGGTGATTTAGGCTGAGAGTAGAGGGCACTTGCTCGCCTGGTCTATTTTCTCAGCTGCTGTCAGCCGTTGGTGAGTCTCGGTGTGAGATCTGTGGTCAGCATCTTGATAAAGGGTGCGCTCTGGATGGCTCGCTCCGTAAGCCTCCAAAGCCCTGACAGCCCCTAGTGAACTCCACACGCCTCCCCACCTTCGTCCCCAGCAATAGGGTTCGGTTTTGGGTCTTAGGGGTCCTTCTTACCGGGAATCCTAGTCTCAGCAGTACCGAGAAGGGGACCCCCCCCCGCCTCCAATTATTCGAACAAAAATGTGGAGGGCCCTTCAGGTCTCCGGAGCGGCCAGCCAAAGCTGTGGGTAAAAACAAGGCGCGAATCCCTCTCAGGCCCGTGGCACGCATCTCACGACGACCTCTGAAAGGCGGCGAGCGTTCGTGGCTTTCATGGGACTGGGATTCGGACCATTGGGCTGGTTTCCGCAACCTTTCCCTCAGCCCCGAAACGTGAAGAGCCTTACGGCACCGAACGGCTTCAGCTTGGCGATGCTCGTGGCATCCCTGCTATAGTACGGCACCCTCATGTTTAGCGAATCCAAGGAGGGACCATCACTTAGAGTAACTCAATACTCGTGAGGTCCAGGAATGCTTACCCAAACTCACCGCTTGCTTCACAGCAATCTCGTCTCTTGTTGCCCTAGCTCTGTAAACCCACGGCTCCAACCCTCAAGCCTTCAGCCCTATACCTAAGGTGCCGAGGAATCAACCTGTCATGTGGGGGTATCCGTCCTCAGGCGCAGATTCGCAGATTTGCTGTCATGCAGATGGCCCTTTTCAGGGGAAGAGTGCGTGGAATTCAGGGCAAAGCCACATTCTCCTGACACCCAACCCTACAAGCCTACACCCCTGCACCCTGAAGACCTGAGCCTCCATGCCTGAGTCCCTAAACCCCAAAAAACCCTGCAAAACCCAAGAAGCCATAAAACCCCTCAAGCCCGCTCCACTTGGCCCCTGAGCCGCGGACCAGTCGACGAGGTCCAAGCCCAGGGAGTACTGGGTCTCCTTGGACCAAGGGTTTCAGGTTCAGGGTTTAGGGCTTAGGGCATAGGGCATAGGGTTTGCTTAGGGCTTAGGGCTTAGGGCTTGGGGTTTAGGGTTTAGGGTTTAGGATTTAGGGTTTAGGGTTTAGCCTCAATGCGCTCCTTGCTCGAGGCCCGTAGGACTTCTGGGGCTTGGGAGAGCCACGATTTCTGAGGGTTAGGGCCCGATGTTGGAAGCTACGGTGCCATGGCGCCTCGTTCTCCTGCAGGTACACCCGGATGCTCAGGAAGTCCTTCCGCAGCGGAAAGTCGGGGTCTGGTAGGGATCACAGTTGGTATACTGAAATACACACTCTACTCTCTTCCTTCCTTCCACAGCACTTAACCCCCAAGGGGGTCGTCCCAAGGGACGTGCTCAAGCGATCCCGTCGGTTGTGAAACTGCCCGCACAGGCTGGAGTTACTTCGTATTAGAATGCCCTCCACTGTACCATGTGCTATGGGTGTGGTGGTGGCGGGTGATTCGGACACTCACATGACAACTGTGACCCCCGAACATCCCTACTGGTTAAGGTTTATACTCGAAGCAATCCCTCGATCCACCCACTCAACTCGGTTGTTGCACGGCATTCCCTGTGGAAGTTTCCTCCCAGGAATACTCCCAATGTATGTTACAACTGACTTGGGGTCACCACTATGTTGTTCAGGGTAACGGTTGACCACAGCCTGCCATACTTCAGCGTCCCCCTATTTAAGGCTTAGGGTGGTTCGGGTGTTCCCCTTCCCAGTCAGTTTGGTGCCTGCTTCTCACTTCGGGCCATCATTGTTAGGGGTGGTTTGAAAGGTCCCCTAAGGGGTTGTAACGGGTCGGGGTTGTGAGGTGGCACTCAGACAATTTTGCCTTCCCCCTGGCAGGGATGCTACTTCTGTACAGGTTTCTTTCCCGGGTCAGTTGTGGGGTAATTGTGGTCCACAGCTTGCAGTGTTTCGGGGCGACTATTCACAAGCACAGGTACTAGTTATGATTGCCCGGTGATGTGGGGTTGGCTTTGCTACTTTCACCAGGGTGGTTGAGGGGCACAGCGACTTCGGGGTAATGGTGGTCCACAGCTTGTACTACGGTTTGGCGGGCCCTATCATGCATGTTTATTCCCCTTACCACCTCAGAAGATTTTGGCTGGTTCAGTCGCTTTCACTGATGCCATCATGTTCCCTTCGTCGTCTGTGTTCTGGTAGCCGTGGGGGGCGTCGTGGTAGTGGCTCCTGCTCGCCTTCGTTGGTGTAGTGGTGGTAGTGGCTGTGGTCCGAGCTTGCTCCAGGGTGGTGGTTCGTCCCGTCCTCGTCCTCGACTGTCGCTGGTGGTTCTCCCGTTCGAGCAGGTGGCCATGGCATTGTGGACGGAGTGCTTGAGGTTTGCCAGCTTTCATGTAGTTCTTCTTGCGCTGCCCGTGCTGAATGTGCCCGGCTGATGACCTGTTCCAGAAGCCCCTGCATGTGCTCCCTGCGGAGGCCTGCTCGTACTTGGTCTGCTAGTTCCTCCAGCATTTCCACGCCCTCCCTGCATGCTCTGGTGCTCCGTTCCATGGCTTCTGCTTCTTCTTTGGTGGGGGTTCGGTCTCCCAGCCTGTTGCGCTGTTCCTTGGCGCGGCGAATGGCGGTCTTGAAGAGGTTGGCGATGGTGTAGATGTCTTGTTGCATGGCCTCCCTGGTTGCCCTTGGTTGTTCAGGAGCGGGGTCTGCTAGGAGTTGGGTAAGGCGAATGCCTTCTTCCAACTCTGGTGTGTCCCACGCGGTCTCGTGCTCTCCTCCCTCTGTGGGGCCCACTGGTGGTGGTGGCTCGATGGTGGGGTGCGATGCGTTGTGGTTGGGCTCCCGGTGCCACGGGCGGTTGGCTGTCTATGACAATGGCGTCGTCCATGCCCCAGTGCTCCCCAATCCAGCGCTGTATGTGGTTAATGGCCTCGGTGAGCTGGGTGGCGATCTGCTGCTCCACAAACGGCATGACCCCCTGGATAGTTGTGATTGCTTGGAGCAGTGGGCCGGCTGGTGCCCCAACATTGTCGGTGCGTTCGGTGGATTCCACGGCTCCACCAGCTAAGCCAATCACGTCTGCGGGGTGCGCTATTCCTCCATCGCGGGAGGTGTTGCGGCTCGTCGGCGTTGGCGGCGGTTGTGGTGCTGGAGGTGGCTGGCTCCACGCTGGCGCTCGGACGACTAGGTGGTGGGCCGTTGTCGCCGCGTGAATCAGCTCTGCTATGTGTTGTAGGTGTTCTGGTGCGGTGGCGGGTGGCGGGTCGTCTGTGTCATCCGTGTTTTGCTTGTTTTGCTCGCCCCGTAGTTGACGGAGGAGTTGGGTGATGAGGTGGTGGCCGTGTGCTGCTGCTCCTTCTGCTTCTCCCCACGCTTGCCAGTCGCTTACTGCTTGTACTCCCTCCATTTGCTCCAGGCCCATGGTCAATAGTGCTCTGATCACCTCTCCCTGTTCGATTTGTTCTGCTCGGTCGATGTCCTGGAAGTTGGCTATGAGGCTGTGGGTCTGCCCTTCTGCTTCTTCAAACGCTGCTTCCATGGTGGTCGCGGGGGCGTTGTTGGATGTGGCAGTGGCAGTGGCAGGCCCATCTGTGCTGCTGCTGGCTGGTGTGTGGCTTGTGCACCGGTCAGGGGGGTTCGGTTGGTTTTGGGTCCTGGCGCGTTTGGCTCTCGTGTTGGTGCTTGTGCTCGTGTTTTCTGTCAATATTGTCATCGGTGGTTCATGTGTTGTGGCAGTTGCTGTTTCCGGGTTGGGGTTGGGGTTTGGCCTGGGGTTTTGGTGTTGCCCGGGCTGGCTTCGGTGGGTCTGGACCATGGTGGTTGCTTCCGGTTCTTCTGGGGTCGTCGTGCTTGTTGTTGTCGAAGGTGGCGGCGGTCTCGGTCGTTGGTAGAAGCTTTGGACCACTGCAGGCGTGTGGCCCAGCGTAGGCGGGTTGTGTGGTTGGGGGTAGGCTTGTTCTTCTGCTGCTGCGGGCAGGGTGTGCTCAAGGTGGTCTTGCGGGCTCGGGGGAGGTTGCGAGGCCGGTATTGGCATGGGTCGGATTGGGGTCCTCCAGGGTGAGCTGGATCCATGTCCATGGGCGTACTTGGAGGTGCGGTCCTCCTGGGAGCTGCGTGTGTTGCTCGGGGGCCTCGTGGATGTGGAGTGTCCACTGGTTCGTGTCCTCGGCCTCCTGATACAGGAAGCCTGTGGTGCCCGGTGGTAGAGCAGGTTGCTGGTTGGGTTGTGGTTGTATTGGGGTGTCTGTTGCGTGGTTGAGGGCGACGACTTCCAGCCACCATCCTCCCTGGTGCGGTTGGAAATGGATTTTGGTGAGTGGGTCCTGTGGCATGCTTGGTGGCAACGGGCCCGTGTATGCTGGCGCTCCATCCGTGCGGTCGGCTCGTCGTTCGGTTGGTGTGTTCGGTGCATCTGCTTCTTGGTTGGGCTGTGTGCTGCTGGTCGGTGTGTGGCTGGTGTCAGGTGTCTGCTCTGGCCGCGGTTGCTTGTGTCTGTTGAGCATCTCCGCCCAGTCTGTGTTACTGTCTTGTGGTCTGGCGGGTTGTATTGGGTGTTGGATCCATCTTTCGCCGGGTCTCCCCCCTGCTGGATGGATACGACCGGACTGGGTGTAGAGGAAGTCTTGGTACTGTTGTTTGATGGTTAAGCGGTGCGGGCCATCTTCCCGGGGTGGTTGGTAGATGTTGGCTCGCTGCAGCGCTTTCTTCATCTCATACTTGTCGTCTTTGTTACGCTGCCGCTGGGTGTATGCTTGTTGGTCTGGTCGGGTGAGGGGTGACCTGTGATCTGGTGTGTCGTGGTTCTGGTAGTGGTGGTCGGGGGTAGCTTGGTGGTCGTGGTGCGGGTGGTGGTGATGGTGGTGTTGGGGTCCGGATTGTACCCTTGGCATGAGTCCGGTTGGGTTGCGTGGTCATTGTGGCATGGGTTGGAGGTCTGGGTGGGGGTCTGGGTGTTGTCATATTGGGGGGGTGCTGGTTGTTCGTTCGTCGCGCTGGTAGGGTGCCCCGGGTGCGCGCCTCCATTCATGGCTGTTGGTGCGGAGTGGTCCGGTTCACCGGTCATTTCCCGGGTCGACTGGTGGGTGGTTGGTGGGTGGTCGGCCATTGGCTCGGACCCGATGGGGTGCAATGCCCACCCGTATTGGTTGTGGTGCGGCTGCCACGTGTTGTGTTGTGGCGCCCCTGCATGCCATTGCCAGTGGTAGTTTGCTTGCCAGCCGTCTTGCCATGGTTGCCAGGTCGATGTCCATGTCCAGTACTGTGGGGTGTGGTAAGCCGCTGTCCACTGCTGGTGATCGGATCGTTCTGGCGGTGGCGCTGCGGTCGCCCTTCCCTCTGCTGCGGTGGGGTGCGACGCTGGCTGCACTGGTGTGGTTGGTGTGGCGGGCTGTGCTTCGTGCTGGGGTATTCTGGTGGGTTGCCTAAGCCGCTGTTCTCGCCTCGCTATGTCTTGCGGTGGGTGGTTCCCCTCGCGCGCTGTTGGTCCGTCTGCCTCGGGTCGTGTTAGTGGTGCATGCGAGGCTGTGGCTGTGTCTCCTGCGGTTGTTTGTGCTGTCGGTAGCGCGGGCGCGAGTGTTGTCGCCCCGGTGTGCTGAGTCAGGTGCTTGTGCAGGGCTGCCGCCGTGTATCTTCTTTGGGCTTCGGCTGCTACTTGGGTGAGGAATTGGAGCGGTAGTCTTCCTCGTCTGATCCAGTCCCTGTGTTGGTCAGCTGTCATGCCAGGGACTGGGGGGATGTCAGGCGGTGGAGCCGTTGTGATGATGTAGTCGTCCGCGTGGTCCATGGGGAAGGTAAAGGTGTTGTCTGGCCATTCTGCGTGTTCCGGTAGTGGTGGTCCTTCAGCGATTCTTTGCTGTGCTTCAGCCCAGGCATCCATCAGGGCTGCTTGGTATTGCGCTAGTGCCGTGGTCGGCGTGTGTATGGTGGGTGGTGTTGGGTTGGCTGGCGGGTTGGGTGTTCCCGATGGGTGCCCCCATCTTCTGGGGACTCCATCTTGGTCGTAGTCAGTGGTGGGAGTCGGTCTCGTGGCGGTGGTAGTGGTGGTAGTGGTGGGAGTGTTGGCGCCATCGACCGCCATGGTGGTGGTGGCTGTTGCGGTGGTGGTGGTGGTTGGTGTGTTTCCCCTCGGGGGGTGGTGGTGCGATGGTGGGTGCTGTCTCGTTGTTGTTCCACTGGAGCTAGCGCTGGCGGTTTGGTGTGTTGAACGCTCTTGGTGCTCTGAGATGGGTGGTGTCTGAGCCGGTGTCGGGTTGGTGGCCACAATGTAAACGGTGACATGTGTTGCTTGTAGCGCCGCTGGTTGTATGTGGAATCGGAGCAATGCCCCTCTTTGGAGGTGCGGGTGTATGGCTTCGACTGCGTCCATTTCCAGACTGGTAGGGATGGGCCGGCTTCGTCTGGGTGCTCTGTTCGAGTGCGGTGGGGAGTGTGGGTTTGGGGTATAGGGGTGTGGCCTGGTCGTGGCCGGTGGTGGTCCTTCTTCGGCAGCAGCGTTTGTGGCGACGTAGGTGGGGTCGTCCGGTGTAGTGGAGGTGGTGGTCGGCATTGGTGTGGGCGTGGACACCGTCGTTGTCAGCCGGGTGGTTGTCATCAAGGTGTCGTTGGTCGTGGGGGTCGTGGAAGCCATGGAGGTCGGGGTGGTCGTAGAAGTTGTTGTTGGTTTCGTTGGTGTCTGGGTATCGGTCCCCCTCGGGGGTGTGGGCATCGGCGTGGTAGTCGGACTGGTTGCTATGGAGGTCGTGGTGGTCGTAGTGGTCAAGGTCAAGGACGAGGTCGAGGGGGAGGTCGAGGAGGAGGTCGTAGAAGCCACAGAAGTCGTAGTGGTCATGGTGGTCGTAGTCGTAGATATTGGTGTAGGCGTTCTTGCCGTTTGGGTATTGGTAGCTTCCGTTGTAGTTGCGGTAGTCGTCGTAGTCGTTGCACAGGCCGTACTCGTAAAGGTCGTGGAAGTCAAAGGGGTCGTGGTGATCGTGGAAGCCGCGGTGGTAGTTCTCGTTGGGGGTGTGGGCACCATCGTGGTAGTCATGGTGGTCGTCATCGAGGTCGTGGTGCCCGTAGAGGTCGAGGTCGAGGAGGCCAATGAGGTTGTCGGAGCCGCAGTAGTCATAGTCGTAGTGGTTGCGCAGGCAGTACTCGTAGAGGTCGTGGAAGTCATAGGGGTCGTGGTGGTGGTAGTCGTCGTGGTAGTCAAGGTGGTCGTCATCGAGGGCGTAGTGCTCGTAGAGGTCGAGGAGGCCGATGAGGTTGTCGGAGCCGTTGTAGTCGTAGTCGTAGTGGATGCGCAGGCAGTACTCGTAGAGGTCGCGGGAGTCATAGGGGTCGTGATGGTGGTAGAGGCCGTGGTGGTAGTCCCCGTTGGGGTTGTGGGCACCGTCGCGGTAGTCGAGGTGGTCGTCATCGAGGTCGTGGTGTTTGTGGGGGTCGAGGGGGTCGAGGTGGTCGTCGGAACCGTGCGGGTAGTACTCCTGGAGGTCGTGGGAACCATGGGGGTCGTGGTGGTGGTAGAGGCACTTGTGCGGGTGTTGGTGTTGGTACTCGAGGCATCGGTGGTCCACATGGTGGTTCCGGTAGTCGTCGATCCTGTCGAGGTTGGAGAGGAAGGTATTGTGGTCGAGGTCGGTGCCGAAGGGGAGGCCACAGTGGTAGTTTCCGGTTGTTCACCGAGTGGTGTCCATATAGTTGTGGTACTCGAGGTTGATGGTTGGTAATTTCCCCCGTTGTCTGTGGCGTCGTAGGAGGCGGTTGTCGCTGGATTTCCATATCGTGTTGTTCTGCTCCACACACAAGCCCCCAAGGTGCTCCACACCAGCATCGTTGTCACGAGCCGGTAGCTTGTGTAGTGGCTGCACATGTCCACGGCTGCCATCAGTTGACTTACGCAAGGAGGCAGCTCAAGATAGACAAGGGCTTGAACAAAAGCTTCTCATCACTGCAACTTCCCGGCACAGACAACACTGACATTGCTGAACTGCACATTGCTGCAAACTGCATCTCCATGTCGTTGTGTTTCCGAGCACGCGCTTGGCAGGACAGATTGGACTAAGGTGGGGGGGGAGGTCGTTGTGTTCTTGGGCTGTTTTCGTAGCTTCGAGAGTTGAGTGTGGGGAATGAAAACGAAGGCCCTAGCCTTTGCAGGCGAGTGTTCACCTGCCCCTAATTGTTCAAGGTTCATTCGTCGTCTGTTCGGGCAGTGGGCCCGTGATTGGTAGCGGTGGTTGTGAGAATGGTGGTGGGGTTGGGTGGGATCTATTGGGGGTGAGGTTATGGATGGCTTGTTGCCTCCCCGTTGCCCAGGGGGGGTCGTGTTTGCGCACAAAGTCGCTGCCCAGTTCTTGCCATCGTTGTCGATTTTGTGCTATTGCGAGCCAATCTTCTCCTGCAACCGCCACTATGTGTCTCTCGATGTCGAGGTGCGGATTGAAACGATGTGCATGACGTGCGCCATGGCGTAGCGATTGCTGGCCTCTCCACCACTTGATATTGCGCCATTGGAGAACTGCTTGAGTGGTGGGATGCCCACGGGCGAGATGGCCCACTAACCCCCACACTTGCCATAAAACAAATGTGGACCAGCGCTGTAGCTGCTCTCGTTGTGCGATCATCCTCGCCTCCCGCAGGGTGCGGGTGTTCCATTCTGCCCATTGCTCAGTTGGTTGACGTGATCTCCCGAGCATGGCTCGGACTTGATGTAGTTGCTGCGAGTTCGCTTGCTTGAGGAGACTCTCCTGTATTGGCCAAGTGTTACACGCCCACAGGGCTGAGCTACGCACGTAGGTGTTGTGCAACTTGAGGCGGGGCCCGAGGGGTGTGGCTGCGCAGAGGATGCGTTTCCTTAAGTGGAAGGTACGTCTTGCTCGCCCTTGCATTTCTGCTGCCAGGGCTGTAGTGACGTTGTCGAAGGTCAGAGGCGATCCCAGGGCGTGCAGGATGACATCCGGGCCTTGTGCTAGCACCGTTTCCCCGCCAATTCGGAAGGGTGTGCCCTTTCCCTGGGAATGGCTGGAGATGATGCCTGTTTTCTTGGGGTGTATGTCCAAGCCCTGCCGTTTGAGATGGGCTTCCAGGGTGGTGATTAGGCGTTGTAGTCGGGCGGAGCACCCTCCCCATAGGTATGTGTCATCCATGAAAGCGCCACCTGAGGTCGGACATGGTGGAAGCTCCCGTGGTTGGGCCGGGTGTGGCGGGGTAGGTGTGGTGCTGTGGACGTCTTCCACCAAGGTTTCTTGGAGGCATTCTCCAATGAGTTCTGCGAACAGTCGGGGACTGTCCGGAGAGCCCTGGCGCACTCCATTCGTTTGCGGAACCGGGGTGGTGCGGTCTGCAATGGCCACGTTGATCTCCCTCGCGCGAATCACGTCAATCCACAGTTGGGCTTCCCACGGCTTTCCTGCATCTGCTACTTTCCTGCGAACTAGGTCTGCCATTGCCGGTTGTCCCACGGAGTCAAATGCTTTCTGGATGTCCAGCTTGACGACGTACATTTGATCTCCCCAGTCCTTAGACATCCTGGTGACTCGGCGGAGGATGAAGACCAGTTCCGCTGATTGCCGGCGCGGCGAAGCATATTGTTGTGGTGTTTGGCACAATGCCTCCCCGCATCTATGCAGGAGAAGTTGGGCCAGCCACTTCAAGATTGTACTGCTCAACGTGATCGGTCTGGTCTCTCCCCAGCTGGTCGGGGCGTGGGTCTTAGGTAAAAGGACGGTAACTCCTTCGGCTATGCCGGGGTGAAGTCTGCCTATGTAAAACATATCATTGAGCATCTCCCGGAGCCTGCCCGTCCATACTTTGTCTGCGAGCAGGTGTTGGAGTGCTTCATGGGATATGCTGTCCGGCCCCGTAGACTTCCGTGGTTCCCATTTGAGCGATACTACTCGCATTTCATCCTCTGAAAAGGGTTCCCAGGGAGTTCTCTTGCATTGTTGTCGGATGGTATTCTTGGTTGTCTCCAGCTTCCGCTCCGTCGTCTCTAAGTCGGCTTTGTTGAAGATCTTCTTGAAGTGTTGTTGAAGGTGATCGGGCCAATCTGGTGGATCCAGTAGTCGATGTTCCCAATGCCGAGGTTGGTTGAGGTGGTCGATGGCTCGCATGGCTTTCCAATTCATCTGGCTTGCCTGGTCGATGAGCTCCTTTTCCCAAAGTTTGTGCTCTTGTTTCTGGAGTTTTTGGACTTGTTTCCATGCTTGTTTCCTGGCCTGCCCCGGTGGTGTGCGGTGAGCTTCTCGTCGTAGTAGTTGGAGTGTCTCGCTTTCATGGAAGGTTATGCTGTCCGAATGGGGCTTCGTGATTGCAAGGCAGATGTTTTTCACCTGGGCATAGTATGTGTTCCCCTCCGGCGTTTCCTGGAGGGCGGTGCCAATTTGGTCAGGATCTTTGAGCACTCTGGGCCCCCAGGTGTGTTTCGTTTTGGGTTTTTTGCCAGAGGGGGGAATGTCCGCTACGATGGGTTCATGATCCGATCTGGCAACATCCCTGATCTCTCCTACATATGCTGCGGACATGTGGTAGCCTTTCAGCCCCAGATAGTCCAATCTCCGTGGCATCATCGTCGGGTTGTAGGGGAAGTGTGATGGTGCTTCCATCTGTTGGGGTGGTAGTCTCAAATTTGGGTGGTAAACCAGTCCAGGATGGTATTCCCCCTGGCTGTGGTAGCTGTGATTGTGTGGGGGCCATTCTTGAAGGTTTCATTGGCATCCATTCCCAGTATGCACTTGCTTTGATGGCACGCTCGGCTGCTTTCCCACTCGGAGAGTAGGGCCTCAGTGGCAGCGATTGTGGCATTCCACGGGATGTGCCCTGACAGGACTCCTAGTTGGTTGGTGGGTTGGCCTGCGAGGTGAAGGATGGTGGTGATTCCACCTGTGTGGAGTTCGGTGTGGTGGTGTGTACCGAGTGAAAGCTTGTACACAATGGCTGTACCCCCCTTTCCCATAAAGAATTTTCCATTGTTTGACCTCATCCATATGAATTCCAGCTGCACAAACAACTTCTTGTACCATCAGGATCCGGGTGTCTTTTAAAGAATCCATCTCACTGAGGGTGTCGGCGAGCTCAAGGATTTGCACAGGTGTGAGCCCTCCCACATTCCAACTCATAACTTTGTAGTTGGGTAAAAGCCGTTTGTGGTGAGACTTCTCCTCCTCCCCCGTTCACAGTTCCTTCTTGATGTTGTTCCAGTGGGTTTCAGCTTCCTGTCCATCTTTGCGTAGGAGGTTGGCGATGGTGGGGACGTCCACCCATCCAATTCCAGCTGTAGCGGCTCCTGTCTTCTGGGGTGTTGACGCCGAGGCTATTTTGGTGCCTTGCAGCCACACTGTTCCCGAGGCAAACTCTGCTTCCACTGTGTTCAGGGCCGCTCCCAACTCAAGTGCGAAACGTTTGACCTTTCCAGCCAACTTCGCCTTGGCCCTGCGTTGTGGGCTTTGAGACATCGCCATCCACATTTTTTGCGGTGTGCCATTCTCCCTTTCCCCGAGGGTGATGTTGGAGTCTTTGACCTTCTTAAGGGCGCGACGAACTCCTGCTTGTAGTTCCGGATCCTTGCTGTATTGCGACGGCAGTGGTATGATGACATAGCCTCTACGTATTCCCGGGACGAACGCCTCCTGCATGTTGATTTCTAGTTGGAGGGTAGCTGCGGCTTGTTGCGCTTTTTCCAATGTGGTACTCGCGGGTGTGTCGTCTGCCCACCCTCCCAGAATCAGAGCTGGTCGTTTGCCAGCTTCCGTTGTATCCGTGGTGGAGAGGGACGATGTTCCACTTCCAGATCCACTCCCTTGCCATCTTCCGAAGCGCCCCTCCAGTAAGCTGAGCCGGGTAGAGATGGTGAGGTAGTCGTTGTTAATGGTCATCATGGTGCTTTCTTGTTTCGATTGGTTTTCCTCCAAGCGTCGTAGGGAGTCCCCGTGGGCGGCATATTTGTCGGTGAGGTTGTGGAGCAACTGGAGTGTGTGTTCCAACTGAGAGGTGACGCTGTGTTCGACTTTCTCCACTCGGTCGATAGTGGCTTGGACTTCGGTGCGGACTTCTCCCAGGAATTCTTGCTTGAGCTCTCTTCTCTCATCCCGGAGCTCCCCCTTGATCACCTCACGGATGGCCTCAATCGTCAGCTCCCCGTCCCCCGCCAGTTTCCTTTTTGGGGTGGCTGCCTCCATATTCCACCAGGAAGTTCGCTGCAATGGGCTGCTTGCCAAGACTCGATCAAGTAGTAGGTCTTCTCCCTGGCGGGGAAGGCAAAGGGCTGGCTCGCACTCCCTCGGTTCTCAGGGTGTAGGCTCGCCGATATCCTTCAGGTTGGTGGTGACAGTGTCCTCCGCACGCCTCAGCGGTTCACGCGGGTGATGGAGGCCAGCTGCGGTTGCCCTGCAGGTCCAATCTCACCGTACTCCCCTAGGACAGCGTCGAGCAGGTACACGCAAAGTTCAGCAAACAGGTAGATGTGGACGATCGCTGCACCGGTGCAGGGGAAGCGGAATCCCTCCCGCTGCTCTCTTTCTCACTCTCTCTTGTTTTGATTTGGGTTGAGGAGGCTCGGCCGACGGGGGGTGCCTCCTTGAGCACTCGCGGCTTGAGCCAAAATGGCTACTCTCTCTCTCTCTCTCTCTCTCTCTCTCTCTCTGACATACATGTGTAGGTAAGTATGTTTGTTTGTTTATGGGCTGTTTCTGGATAAGAACACACATATTGCACACATATCTGCATGCAGGTTGCCTCCTCACGAAGGTTGGAGGCTCTCAACTGCACAGGCTGCATGAGGCAACTGAGCAAAGCCTGCTGGTCCAACTCCCTCAGCCATGAACCCTCGCAACCCTAAGCCCTAAACCCTAAATCCTAAATCCTAAACTTGGAACGCCGGCGGTCGTAGGAACTCTGAATGCCCAACCACAATTCGGATTTCGAGCCGGACAGTCCGTGGGGCAAGCCGTCTCACATCGCTTGCAGCCAACGCAGTCCTCCGAGTCAGGCGACGGACCACTTCGGGATTGGGGTTTAGGGTTGAGGGTTGAGGGTTTTGGGTTTTGGGTGTTGGGATTGGGGTTTGGGTTGCTTAGGGCTGTTTAGGGTATAGAGTTTCGGGTGGAAGGTTGCAACTCTTGAGTAATTGAGTAAATCGAGAGGTTGACGCCTGATAAGAACCCCAGCCCCCAAACCCTACAAACCTGAACCTTGAACCTTCAAACCAGAGCATTGCAAACCTAAAGCCCAGGCTCCGATACCCGGCGTTGCTTTGACAAAAGAGCTTTGAGTAGAGACTCCACAACTCAGGGCTGCCAGGCTGACTCGGCGCCTCAAGCTTTTGAGGTTTGGGCTCATGGGGTTTAAGATTTCGGGATCAGGGTTCAGGGTTTAGGGCTTAGGGTTCAAGAGGCCGTTCGGTTTAGTGTCGGTCAAGCCTAAACCCTGGTCCTCCACTCGCGGGGAGGAGGCGACCTGCTTGGCAGCGTTGATGGTGGCGGGCACCATCTCCTACAAGCAGAATCTGCACGAAGGCCACTCATCAGCTAACATGTGCTTGGCCGGAGCTGATACCTCCCCAAAGCTTCTACCCCTCTGGCTTCTGAAGTTTTTGGAAGCTACGTGGCGCGTCTCCAGCACATCCGTTGGGCACGCACGCACGCAGAGCGTGCAGCCGATGCAGGTGTCCTTGGGAAGATGCAGGTTGAACCATGGAGCGTTTCGGTTTAGGGGTCGGGGGGCGTGGAAGGGTTTAGGAGTGTAGGGTCCGCGTTCAGGCTGCAATCTGGGACTGCAACATGCTTTCGGGTTCCAGGTTAAGGTTGGGTAGCTAAGGTGGCTAAAGATCCGCCATGGCACGCGGCTCCGTTCTAGGGTGTAACTTCAGGTATGGCAAAGCAAAGCCCAAGCTCTGCACCCCTAAACCCTAGACCCTAAACCCTAAACCCTAAACCCTATAGGCCCTACCCTCAGAAAGCTGCGAAAAACACTTGCTGCCAGGAGGCATAGATCTTCACCGCATGCGAGCGCCTGAACCCCCACCCAAATCAAGAGGAGGACTCAACTCTGGGGCCCGAGGCCCCTAAACCCTAAACTCCCTAAACCCTTAGCCCTAAACCCTAAAACATGAACCCTGAGCCCCAAACCCTCTACGAGTATCAACTCGGGCGGCTTTTCGAACCAGTCTCGGATTCTCCGTCCCTCTTTTCGGGGATTTGGGTTTGAGGGGTCATTTGGGGCGCAGTTAAACGCAGCGCAGGGTCATAATCCCGGAGAGCCCAACAGCATTAAGGAACATACCTTCTGTAGCCTACGGTGCATGAACTCCCGTCATCCAAACCCAAATCCTCGAAAAGACCCTCTACGAGCCCTAAACCCCCAAACCCTAAAACCCTGCTAAACCCTGCAAAACCCTAAACCCAAAACCCTAACACCCTAAAACTCTAAACCCCAAACCCCTAAACCCCTAAACCCCTAAGCCCCTAAACCCTAAACCCCTAAGCCCCCTAAGCCCCCAAACCCCCCAAACTCCACAAACCCCCAAACCCCCAAACCCCCAAACCCCCAAATCCCCAAACCCCCAAACCCCCAAACCCCCAAACCCCCAAACCCCCAAACCCCCAAACCCCCTCCCTGAAACGTAAGGAAGGGGACCTGGCGGCTTTGGCGGCCCGCGCCGCGGCCGCGGCGCCGGCCGCACCCAGGGCGCCGAGCCTGGTTTTCAGGGCCTAGGGTTTAGGGTTTAGGGGTTTAGGGGTTTAGGGTTTAGGGTTTAGGGTTTAGGGTTTAGGGTCTAGGGTCCAGGGTTTAGGGTTTAGGCTTTAGGGTTTAGGGTGGGTTTAGGGTTTAGGGTTTAGGGTTTAGGGTTTAGGGTTTAGGGTTTAGGGTTTAGGGTTTAGGGTTTAGGGTTTAGGGTTTAGGGTTTAGGGTTTAGGGTTTAGGGTTTAGGGTTTAGGGTTTAGGGTTTAGGGTTTAGGGTTTAGGGTTTAGGGTTTAGGGTTTAGGGTTTTTACGAACTAGGCGTTCTTCATCACCTCCTTTTTTCGATCTTCCCCGCATCCCTCCCTACCTCTCTCTCCTTGTTATTCTATTCTTACTAATTTTCTTATGTTTCTTCTTATTATTCTTCTTCTGCTTCTTCTTCTTCTTCTTCCTCCTCCTCTTCCTCTTCTCTACGCATATTTTCTGCTTTTCTGCACAGCGCGAGTGTGGCGATCGGGACCAGCAGACAGCGTCCCTTTCGCTATGCAGATTACGAGTACATCTGCGTCCTCCCTTCTTGGGCCGGAGCGAGCCCACCTGGTGTTAGCCATTTCAACTCGCACTGCGGATATCAGCGATATTGCGAAGGCGCTCTGGGAAGCGTCGTTTATCGAGGAGCTCCTGGCATTGAGCACCAACGACAAGTCGTGAGTGCTGGAGTACAAAAAAGGCCGCACGAATTTGCGAGAAATGGCCCCAACTGGATTAGTAGCTTGCATATCGCAAGCGGCTATCACATGGATGCACTTTCTCGTTCCACGGATGCCGTGCCTCACTTGCACTAGGCTCCAAGTCAACCGTGTGCACAAAGAGCGACCCTCTCAACACATGCGCAAGAAAGGCGTACGAACCGCTCAGGATGCCC